ATAAATTCAAACATATTCGCATTCAGTGGACTGCGAAACCAGTCATTCGTTTAAAATACAAAATACAATTGCAATAGTGAGACACTAGAAATAGGTAATGAAAAATTTCATAGTTATTATAAAACGAAATGAATAAACTAGAATTGTTTAATTTTGCTAAAAATTATGTTATTGGTTTTTTTTATCGAATGAGTCCAGATTATGAGAGAGAATGTAGTTAATTATACAACAGAAATTTCTTTGCAAACCTCTTATGCTGTGTTTAAGAAATTATAAGAAAAGTGCGACAATATCACACGAAATTGATAGTAAGTAAGCAAATTAGACGATAATATTCTTCATCTAGACTTATTATTCTCGTCGATATTAGTTGTTCCTGAACATGCTTGAATTATAAATTTCGATGAACAAGTCTTAAAAATATTGAATAACAGTATTACTTTAAGAGAGGTCAAATTAAAAATTAAAGACAAAAAAAGGGCATACTCGCAAGGGGAGATATTTATACTATAATTTTAAATCACTACAAGAAGTTACTTTGTAGTATTAAAAAATTATTTTGTTCACTACACATATTAGTGAACAAAATAATTTTATCTGTGCTGGTAAAATATGGATGTACCTACTTCAAGTTGCACTTTTTTTTTATTATGTACAAAATTTATGTTATTATTTGAATGATTTTATTATTTTATATTATTTGAAACATGTCTATGACTCAATATTTTCTAGAAAACATCCATTAGAATGCCAAATATCTAATATTATATTGTATATTGGTTATATCCTTGTGCTAACAGCATAAAAAAATTGTAACAATATTAATGTTTTATATTTCTAAAGTGAAAAAATTACAATTAAATTATACTAATGTGCATTTATGTATATGTGCAGTTTTAGTATTCTGTATACTTTTGTGACGACTAATAGATATAACAATACATGTTTGCATTATTAAATTTCCAATAAATACATACATAAACATACGTAGTGAAATTATGACCAACTATGCTCCTCCCTTCCGTAGCAAGCGAAATTCTGGTTATAGACGATTAACGTGTTTTCGCCGTTATTTCCTCGAATAAAGCACGTGCCTGTGTTGTTTCATCGAATAGAAACGAGTGCATTCGCGTTTTCGATAGTGTGAATACGTTATCTGACGAATCGCATATGTAGAACCGGAAACGTTTATCGATTTTTCATCTAGCCATTTCTGATATCGGTGTAAAATACAGAGATAGGCCGGGACGTCGCTCTAAATTCAACATCGACAGTTGTCGGGATATTTTGCAAATACAGTGTACATTTTGCGTTTTTTGCTTTTCTTTCTATTTCGAAACGAAACAAATAAAACCAATCTTATTATACGTATTTCTCCAGCTAGAATTTTTGTTTGTCTGTTACTCGCTTTTTTAATGATGCTCGAAGCATTAAACATCACGTTTCGAAAGGTAGACAAATCACCAAAAGGAATTTCTGATGGGTTTTCTTAGATTTTTCCTTGTTTCGAGATCAAACATGATACAATTCGCCATAATGACGTGGGTAACAACACATGAAATTCGATTTAAATATTAATTCTGTTAGAGCTCATGAATTTTTTGAAATATAAATGTATCTGCTATATATTTTGCGGTTTTCACATTATATTTTCTCTTTCGAACAAGATTCGGAAAATAGATTTGGCCATTTTCATTAGAAAATTTCTTTTTAAAAATTAAGATTTAAATTAAAAAACTTAGAAAATCGTAATGTTTATTCGAATTTTAAACATACATATACACGCTGCGAAGAAGGATTGCGTTAGATTTTAAAGATGTGTAATATTCACCAACCCTTGTCAACAATTTAAAGTTTGATCTTATTTTTAAATGTAATTCATCATATACTAGAACTTGCAAAAAATTTTAGTAAATTATATAATTAGAGCAATTTATGAAATGCTATTATTTAACTTGCTTGAGCGGTTTAAATATTCCCCACGATTTTTCTCGTAGCACGATCGAGGTCATGCACTGCTCATTGACACCCTAAAGTTTCAAGGAGTCGGCTGTTGCAAACTCGCAAGTCGAAAATTATTTTTTGACCGACACCAAAATCCATACGATTCGAACTGTGGCAAAACTGGAAATCTACGATTTGAAAACGCTCTATATATCGACGCAATTTCACTGTTCAATTTTCGCTCGCAGCCTCCAATCCACACCCCCGAAACCGCAAACATGGACCGTTGGCGTTGAAAATAGCGACGAATATGGGCTACCAGCCTACCTTCGAGCACACGTTGCTCGTACTTTCGAAATGAAATCTGTAAGGGATCAATAAATGGGATAATGGGACCTATCCTTTGCACGCCGTCTTGCGACCGCGAAATTCTTGGCCGCGGCTTTTGGTTCCGCGGAGGGTAGCGCAAGACTCGCATGACGTGCGTGTGTAAATACGTGGCGGCTACGTCGCCGCGGTTGGCGCGTACATGCAACGAAAAGAGGGAGGGATCCGTTATTGATCTTCTCTCGGCGCGTACAAGCGGTTCCTCTCTCTTTCTCCCTCCTTCCCTCCCTCCCTCTCTCTCTTTCACCCTCTCTCCCAGAAAGAGAAACGTATCGAAGCAACGCCGACCGAACGATCGCGATGGTCTACGACGAGCCACTCGTGACGAGAGCTCGACGCATAATGAGAAAGGTACTCTCGCGTCGCCTGTTCGGAGCAAGCTTTACGCGGTTCGGGCAGCCTAACCGGGAAGCGTGGCCAGGCAACGGAGGCGGCCGAGCCTCGGCGGAGATGGCCGAACATGACCGAGCTCGTACGTCGGCCGCGAGCGTTCGCCGCTCGAAGCTAGTAGCTCAGTGCATGCACAGCGGCCGGCCGGCGTGCATAGTCGGTGATAACGGCAGTGCGCTTCCGGCCCCAGATTTTTTTCTCTCTCTTGAATAGAATACACTTCTCTTTCTTTCTTTCTCTCTCTTTCTCTCTCTTTTTTTTTTATATTACCACATTTGCCTTGCACGGAAACGCGTACGACGGAAGAACCATTAAGGAAAGCATCTTCGTGCTTGAGCCGATGTCGTCGGCACCGGGCCTCGGGGCCCGGGGGCCAACCCGTAACACGCGGTTATGGAGCTCCTAGGCTTGTCCCGGTGCGGAAGCAGCTACGATATCTGTGCGCGGGCGTTACCCTGTCGTTCTTCTCTCGCGTACTAGTTAGAAACACCGCCGCAGCCAACAGTCAGGCCCTATATGCTCCATTTAAAAGGTATCGCATCCAGGATATCGTTTTTTTACGCGCGGATGTTCTCCCACGGCCTCGATGGAGTTCTCTCTCGTGTCTTTCGTCGACAATGGAACGTACTCTGGCTGTATACGGGGACAGAAATCGGGTTATAGTCGTTGGAAGAGGATATCGTCTGTTGACATCGTTCGGTCTATCTTTTATTGTCGGGTGATATTTTAGAGTGATACGAGGATATACACGGTACATACATCTGTACGATAACAAAACAACAGTGCTTGTTGTATTTTCATACATACGCAGTCTACTGTGATGGATGCATAAATGTCATCGATTCAAATGTAAATGACGGTTAATCGTTTCATTTCTTACATTGAGGAAAATTATTTCGTGAAAAGTGTTCTGGAAGTTTCTTAATGACCTTGGTTTCTGTCTATCTCGCTTTAAATCTCTTGCCACGGGATTCAATTTGTACATGTAAGCAACGAGACATTGGACAATGACAAGAAATGCGGAAACGATTACACGAACAATCGTGGTTCCCCTTTTCCAAACCTCTTCCTTATTTCGTTTCGTCTTTTTTCACCATTTTTTTTTTCTTTTTTTTCATCTTTGATAGCACGCTCTCATCACACGGTTGTAATTATTGCTTCGTAAGCTGAGAAAAGTCTCGCTGAAAAATCGGTCAAAGGGAACAAAGAGAACGGTCTTTGTTCTTGTCCATTTTTATTTTCCTCCTCCTCAAATCAGCAAAGAGGAAAAAGAAAAGTCCTTACTCCGATTTTATGGTATATTATAAGCAGAAAGAAAAGGAAGGAAAGTAGAAGGAGGATCTCGTCTGACATGATATTAAACATTTTGTGTCATTAACAACGACACGACGAAAATCCACAACGTGGCCAGGACAATCGCGAATGAGATTTCGAAGTTCGTTGCCGAGTGAACCACGTGCTCACCGTTGCTTCATTATATTTTTCAAAATTCGTTGAAATAAAAATTCTCGATCGAAATAAGTGCGAACGTGAAGACTGACATTAACTTTTCATGCTTCACACTTTGGAACTTTTTTTCTTTCATATTTATCCGATAAAAAGATAGAGGCGAGAGGAAATTTATCGTATACAGAGATAAATCCGTAGATACTTGTAATCTTTCTTCGAAATATAAATTTAAAGAAATGAAAAAATTGTAACGCATGAACAGTGAAAAATAAACGTTGCAGTGTGATTTGACGTTTTAAACATGATTCAATTGATTTCTAATTGTTAACAAATTCACGAAAGTTCTTATTTACAGTGACGTAGACACAATGTTTGACTTTGAAAAAACGCGAGTATCTTTCCGTGCACAGTGATCATTTCTGAATTTAAAATTAACTTTAAGGATGCTGTATTCTTTGTGTTACTTCCGACATATCACTCGGAATATGTATATTACAATACTATTATATTTATTAACAGAAATAGAAAATAATTGATATTAATTGATTTCTATAGAATCGCAATTGATTACAATTTTTTCGTTTGATTTGAAATTAAGATTATGGTTAATCAGGGTTCTGAGATCAAGCCCTGGAAAACTGCTGCATAAACATCGAACGAGGTTGTCAAGTGAAAATTCTCGAATGTACATTAAATTCCAGGGAGAAATCGACATTAAAACATTTCGCTCGAGAATGGCGCTTCGATCGTCGTGTCTAGTATCAATTTTTCAACCTTCCTCGCACCAGAAACTATCCTCTTCGTCCGCTTTCATGTGTATATGCTCGTAGGTCATAGACGGTTCGCGGGACACGGGGCAGGGGATTGCGTTAAAATTCCGAAAGCTACGTTGCCACGTGACAGAGGCACATGTTACTATGTTATCCGTTTGAAATCGAAATTAACGTTCGCCGCCGTTTCCTGCCAGGAGAATGATACGACGCCGTCGTTGGAATCGCCGCGTGTGTACCAAATCGGTTTGGTGACTTGGTTGGTGTGTGCGTTCGTCGGACGTATTTTTCATGTGCTTTCTTTCTCGGTACCTCGGCCACGGTGCTCCGCTCTAGGACCACGATGTATCGTTAGACGCTATCGTGCTCGTAACTTGACGGCAATCGATAGTTTCCTCTGAGGAAAGGAAGGAGAGAGCCACAGCTCCTCCCTCTCGGGTTCCGTGGAGACTCGTTTCCGATGTACTTTCCTGGTGGTGCAGAGGATATGCGGTACCGGCAGATCGTCGTCGAAAGGGACGAGGGTTGCCCGAGCGGCGTACAACGTAAAATCGATCTAATGTACGCGACCACGCGATCAGTCGCCGATCTCCTTCGGATCACGATAAAACTGGATCACTGTTTCACCTGAGATGAATTTACGCTTGAAAGATAATCGGGAGATATACCTGGACCAACTGACTGAAAGTAGACCGTAGAAACGTCAAGATAAAACGATCAGATAATCGACACGGTGAGGAAGTTCAAAGTTGTGAGGAGAGGATAAAAATTGAATTCGTTGGAGAAAAGTGCGAAATAGTGGGAAGCTGATGTGTAGCACGATGGGTCAGAGAGAAACTGGAAAGAAGAAGTCGCTGCTTTAGAAGAAGCGACGGGGTTACTCGGAAAATAAGAAATAAGAAATTGCTTGTGAAATTAAAAGTCCAAGCTTCAGAAACAGCGTGGAGGAAGGCTCAGGAATATAATCGGAATTGAAGAAAGAATTGAGAGTGAATTGTCTGTAAAATATCAAGCGTATAAAAGCCAAACTAGTAAAACTAAACGAGTGAAGCAATAACTGAAAGAATAACAAGGTCGAAGCATTCGAAATAAAAAAAAAAAAAAAAAATTCAAAAAATTAAAAAAAAAAAAAAAAAAAAAAAAAAAAACGGTGGAGAACAAAGAAGACAGAAAAGCTGGCGTCGCAAGTACGTGAGGGTGGCTCTCGCGGGACTCGGACCCGTCGACGGACCACCAATGGCGGCTCGTTGTCCAGCCGAGGAAGCGCGACGGGCATGCAATGCGGTCTGTGCGCTGTCGTCGCGGGACTTTTCCGCCGAGCGATGTGCATCGCGGGCAGCAGACGGGGCTCTGGTGAATCCTGTTATCAGGAGCTTACCGATCCTGAGGGGCGACGACATTCCCAGCTCGCACCAATCGAAACCGGTCTAACGGCGGCTGAGATCGCGGAACACGTGATAGAGGCTGTCGAGGCCGTAGAAGAGGTGAGACCACGTACATATCTACCCCCCCTTGTCTTTTATCCCGCGCGATGTGATTTCTTCTTTCGCGATGAAATATTTCAATCAAAGAATCGTACGTGCGTGTACATTCGTAACGTTTGTTCTCATTGTCCAGGGTATCGGTAAAATTCAAGTTTCACGAATGATTAGAATTTTTTTCAATTTTATCGCAGCGGCGGAAAGGAGTTTTGGAGCGCTATTTGCGAAGAAAATGATTTAGTTTAGATAACACGATTTACGAGTTGTCGAATATATTGCTATGGAAATGCAGAGACAGTCATTCATCAATTATAAAAATCTTAGTTCATTGATCCGATGTGTTTTGCTGCTCTGCTACATTCTATACCGCATATTATGAATTTTGTATGCAAATGCATATTGATAAGGTAAACATTACTTTGAATTGCATTGTTTCTTAACAAAATAAAATCGCTTCTTTTGAAAAACGTACCTTTTCACTTGCTTTGCACAGACGCGATGTGTTTCTTATCTATTTTTTCAAAAAATTCAGAAAAATAGAATATTGAACTATATATGCAATCTAATTGTTGAACTGAATTGCATAGAAAATGTGTTACGACATATTTCTTACTAAATACATGATATAAAAAATATAGATGGTATAAATGACAAAGAAAGATAAATAGAATATGTAGATGTACAGTATTTCTCACTGCTTTTACTAATAGGAAACAATTGAAAGTGTATTAACTAAAAATGTATTAACTAGTCAAACAATTTGTATGCTATGGTTTTAAATACAAATAATTAATTATTAACGATCAATTGAAATTGAAATCGGTTCGCTGAATACTATAACATAGTTCAAAATAATAATAGCATAGTTCAGAATTCGGCAATTTGAATGTATACTTGTACAGTTGCATCCTCACGAAGTTACTTGTTACGAATGATTATCTTTTATAACAATCGATCGATATACAAGATCAGTACAACAATTAACGTAATTTGGGATAAATATAAAAAGTTCAAGTATGTTATTATTTCTGTCAATAAGAATCTTGTATGACTCTTTTTATTAAATATACCTCCTAATTAAGATAACAATCGACGAGGTATTAAAATCTTTTATTTATTTTAAATAAAAACTTTCTTTAAAGTATGTTTAATACATACGTTATTTTCTTTTCATATTGCAATTAGTCGAATAATTAAACGAATATTTTTGAAAATGAAAAGGTTCTATAGCTACAATCGCTCAGGTAATGATTTTATGTGAAAAAATGAGTGGAAAAGAAAGAACAAAATTTTTTCATTTGAGGTTTCGTTTCTGAGAAAATTGAGTTTGAAAATTTACGAATGAATGTGGCTGTATTTGAACTAGAAGTGAATGATATAAAGTTTTTCTACTTGTGAAAATAAAGAATGTAAAAAATGAAATTTTTCTGTTCACTTTTTCAAGAAATGGTTGTACTAATTACCAGACCACTTGTGTGTCAAATATGTTTAATACGTCTATATAAATTCATGCTACAAGTAAAATTAGAGGAATTATATGATTTAAATAAAACTGAAGAGTAGTAACATTGCATTGAAAGCTTCTTTTTTGAAAAAATTTATCAATTTGTCTAACTTTCAATTAAATAGAAATATACAAGTTATTATTAAATAGAAATAGACATGTTACTTTACATGTGAAAATAAATCATACATCAATATAACTTTCATTTGAAAGTTTTTCAAAAAGAACTATTTGCTTGTTTCGACAATTTTCTCGAAACTTCGAATAAAAAAGAATTTTATAATTGCATCAGTCCAATGGGTCATTTTTATTTCACACTTTTGATCTACCTTTGCATGTAGAATAATATACCAACTGCTAACTTTTGTTCAGTTGGAAATTAGATAAATACATTGTGCTTGATAAATTTTCAAACTCAATTTTTTAAAAAACGAGGTTTTCAACGGAATTTTTTCATTCTTGATTTTTATCTTATTTCGAATCAAAATCATTCTGACTTTACTTCCTGACCTACTGCGAATTTGAGTCAAAAATGTGTGTATGATAGATACAGAGTAAAAATGTAAAAGTTTATAAAGTTACAGTACTCATCAATAATTCACATCTCAATGGCACAAAAACTACAAATTCATAGTGTTTTAAAAATGCCTGAATGCCAAGCTGCAAAAATATATGACAAAGATGGAGTTATTCATTAAAAAATTTTACTGCAACCTTATCATATAAAAAAAATTTTTATATAACAGAACGTTTCAAAGTCATCACAAGGTCAGACAAGTAAAAGTACTACATGAACCCTTTGATATCATATAACTTTTGTTGGAAATACTTTTTTATATCATTCATATTTTTCTCATATATTTTCTGTGTTGTTTTGTTCGTTCGTATTTTCCAGAGCATTTTTAGTTAAAACAGACACACGCTATATATTTTTAAATTTGTCTCAAACTTGACCGATCATGATGTTAATTAAACAACTGAATATTTTATATAACGTATTTTATATTCAACTTATAACATATAATAACATGTAATGTTATATAACATTTTAATATGTGTATTTATAAAATGTTTATATAAGTGTTGAATATTTTCGTGAACAAACAACTGCATGTTGATTAGATATGTTTCACTTCTTCAATCTGTTTTATATTTTGTATACATATACAGGGTAACTCAGTATTTAATTAACTAAATTCAAATGTATTTGATGGATTTTTAAACAAAGATTTTAATGAAAAAATTTTACTTTTTCTTTCCGACTCGTTTTTTTCACATGAAATATGATAGACTCACCTCCTACTCGATTGTACCACTAGTTATAGGATACGTCCTGTATAATACCCCATTTTTAAACATTTATTTTTATATATGAGATCAAAAATTTTTGTTTGCTTATCTGAAAAAGTATTAATATAAAAATAGTTTACTTTATATTAATAAAAGTATTAATGTAAAAAGTAAAATAATATTAATTATAACAACTTTATAATTATAATATTAATTATTTATAAATTAACATTTAATAATAATTAATTATTTATAAATTAGTATTTAATAATAATTAATTATTTATAAATTAATATTATTATAAATTACTTTAATTAGAAAGTTCGAATTTTGGGATTAATTTCTTTCACATCTTCTCTCTCTGATTCCACAAGAACAATGTGTAACTTAAACGTCATTTTTAAAATAAAAGCAATTCTTTGTAAAGGTTACTTTAAAAGTCTGTAATGAAAATTCATGTTGGGTCAAATCTAGCAAAAATTTCTGAGATCTTGCAATTCCTTCGAAAAACGATCTAAATACATATCTAATAGCCCACGACTATTTATGCTGTCGTGTGCAATTTTAACGATTCGAATGAACGCCGATGATTAGGAAAATGTCAAGGATCTGGAAGTACTTCAAAATCATCAATATTCAATGTACCTAGCAAATGTTTCGAGTTCGTTTGCTATTTCGAATCTTCAACATTTTTTCCTTCATAGTCGATGGTTTCTAAATCCAAATCGCAAAAAAACATAATAGACATTTTATTTTGTAAATGCAGCCCTTTGCCAACTCGATTCTGGCTCGTGTAGAGAATGTTTTGTCTAGGACAAAATTTTGTTTAAAGGACTTCATTCGTTCATTATTTCGATTTCCTCGATTTCCTCGATAAATTTCTTATTGTTCCGACTTTTAAATTGTAGGAGAAAAGATTAGAGAACGACAAGTTAACTTGGAAACATTCTCCAAACTCTTCCAAAATAAATTAGCCGATAATAAGAACTAATATAAGAAAGTGAAAATCATTTCGATTGTGTAAACTTTGAAATATAATAATATAGAACAAGTTAGATTAAATAAATTCAACTCACGAGAGGAAAAGAGACGCGGAAATGTCCCCCAGCAATTTACATTTGAGACCATTTTCTATTTACAAGCTTAACTTAAAATCATTAGGCCTCTAAGCGTCAACTAGATTATTTCAAATAAATTTGAGCTGCCAATGAATAATCATATTTCAAATAATTCATATTTTTGTAAATTTCTGTTTGGTCCCGCTTCGTTATTTTCACAAGAATTGCACTTTTCATATCAACGTACAGCTTTCGTGTCAACTTAGAAACGAAGACGGTTACGATATCTAATTATAAATCAAAGAAAGCATTAAATAAAGTGTATATTCATGTATAGCATGGAAATCGACCAGCAAGTCTCGAACCTGAGTTGATCGTTTAACTCGAATTCGAATTGCGAAACGTTTGATGGAAGAGAGCCAATCGCAAAAATAGTCGCCAGACCGATACAACAAAACAATCGTAGAATGTAAGATATATACAATTTTAATGGCTACGATTTTATACCTCACTGCCAGAGAAGAAAAAATAATCACGCATTCCAATAACACATTGTTTGACTGCTTATTCGAAAATTAACACCTGCTGTCGTCATTTTTATAATGCAGTCTAAAGTGCTTATATATGTACATGTATACATGCGCATATGTATAATAAATGTTAATACGATATATAGTAACAATAAGCGTTGACATTAATACATATAACAAAAAAAAAACGAATTTTGTATATAATTAAATTATGTACAAATAAAATTAATAAAATTTATATCATTAATATATAATGATAGAGTGTAAGTGACTATATAAATACATATAAATCATATAAATATATGATATATGATATTGTTATATCAAATAACAATAATAATATATTATAAAAATAAATATGTAACTTAATTACACGAAATTTGCTTCTATAAATTTGTTAATATCTATAATTAATATATAATGATAGAGTATAAGTGATTATATAATATATAATATATAATCATATAAATACATATATTTTTATATTAAATAACAATAATAATATATTATAAAAATAAATATGTAACTTAATTATACGAAATTTGCTTCTATAAATTTGTTCCTGTTTGTATGTATATATGTCAGCACTTTCTTTTATAAATAGTAATCTATTTAGTTGTT